GTAGATGAATGATGAAGGAATTATGAATGGTTAATTAATGGGGGATATAGGAGATGTGGATATATGTTGGGAATAACACGTGCAGACATATACATGCACGGATGTAAACTGAGATACAGATGGCGCGCACACACACACAGAAACATACACTCAAATATACATTCTAGAAACACATGCGAAAACAATAATAAAAAAATGATTATTATGATCATTATTGATATTAATATTTTTATCGTTATCTTTATCAGTATTAATGTTATTGTTGTTATCATCATCATCATTATCATTTCATCATTATCGTTATCATTATCACAATATTACTATCAGTATTATAATCATCATTATCATTAAGATTATCATTATCATTGACATCATTATTAACATTATTATCTTCATCATTATCATTGCTATTTTTATAATAATTATTATTATCATTATTATTAATGTCGTTATATCTATTTTTGTCATTATTATTACTGCTACTATCTTTACTATCCTTATTATGATTATTACTATTTCTGTCTATCTTATTATCAGCATTATTACTATTATTATCATTTGCACTAGCTTTATTTTTATCATTATCTTTATTATTGTCATTATCACTGCCATTATCATTATCATTATAATTATCATTACTATCAATATTATCATTATCAACATGATCATCATCATCATCCTTTTTATGATCATAATATCAATGATAATAATAATAGTCATAATAATAATAATAATAATAATAATGATAATAATAATAATAATAATAATAATGATAATAATAATAACAATAATAATAATAATAATAATAATAATAATAATAATAATGATAATAATAGTAATGATAATATAATGATAATAAAATAAAAATAATGATAACAACAACAACAATAATAATAATAATAATAATAATAATAATAATAATAATAACAACAATGATAATAATATAATAATAATAATAATAATAATAATAATAATAATAACAACAACAACAATAATAGTAATAATAATGTTATAATAATAATAAAATAATAATAACAAGAACAATAACAAAACAACAACAACAATAATAACAATAATGATAATAATAATAATAATGATAACAATAATGATAGTAATAATAATAGCAAAACAACAACAATAACAATTACAATAATAGTAAATATAATCATGATAAATAATAATGATGATAATAGCTATAACAACAATAACAATAATAAAAATAATAACAATAATAACAAAACCAAAACCAACCAACAACTAAACACCAACAACAACTAAACACACACACACACACACACAAAACAACAACAAAAACAAAACAAAACAAAACAAAAAAACACACACACACGCAAGACAGACAAAAAAAAAAAAAAAAAAACACGTGAATTTACAATGTTTTCCAACCGGGAGTTTTAACACGTCCAAGAACCCCTTCTGGCCACGATGTGTTAACGTGTAGAAATAAGCTTTTGAAGACGAATGTGTAGTATCGAGGTGAGCTTTTAACGTGTCTTCGATGCATGTCTTAAACAGGCGATCACTGAACAGCTGTTGGGGGGGAAGAAAAATAGAGGTTTATTGTGTGTGTGTGTGTCAGGGCGGAAGGGTTTGATTGTGGGGGGGGAAGGGTTTGATTGTGGGGGGGGAAGGGTTTGATTGTGGGGGGGAAGGGTTTGATTGTTGGGGGGGAGGGGGGAATTTAATTGTGGGGGAAGAGGGTTTGACTGTGGGGAAAAAGGTCTGATTGTGGGATACGGGGTTTGATTGTGGGGTAAAAGGGTTTGATTGTGGGGGAAAAGGGTTTGATTGTGGGGAAAAGGGTATGATTGTGGGGAAAAGGGTCTGATTGTGGGATTAAAGGTTTGATTGTGGGGGGATCTGACTGTGGGGAAAAAGGGTCTGATAGTGGGAAGATACTGACTGGATGATTGAATGTTGACTTACTTAAATAGTAATTGTATTAATGTTGTTAGTAATGAGTGGTGATTGCATGCTATGTTGATATTTTGAGTGTTGCATGAAATGGTGATTGAATTGGATGTTGACTTTATTAAATATTGATTGTATTATATATTAAATATCACAGCGCAAAAAAGAGTCAGTAATAATAATAATAATAAGAATAATAGAAATAATGATAATGATAATAATAATAACAATGACAATAATAATAATTGTAATAATAATAATAATAATATTAACAATCATAATCATAATAACAATAACAATAACAATAATAATAACATTAATAATAATAATAACAATAATGATGACGATGATATCAATAACAATAACAATAATAACAATAATAATACAGCCATACCAACAAGAGTGATCACCACGGGTACTGTACCTCGGTTACAGCATCGGCGTTTTCCTCAGTAATCCCAATGTCTCCCAGGTAATGATAAAATACCCTGCGAGCGACATACAGTGGTTCCTCGTCCTGGTCCCTGAAATTCATGACGAGAGGACCCACTGTTGTGAAGTTGGTCACTAGGGCATCTTTCAGGTCCTTTCTCGCGTAAATAACTGAAATGAATGATAAATGATATGTGATATATAACTGAAGGGTTTGTTCTCGTTTCGTTTGTTGTTGTTGTTGTTGTTGTTGTTTTTCTGGTGTTGTTTTGTTGTGTTGTTTATTTGTTTGTATATTTTTTTTGCGTGTTTGTTTGTTTGTATATATTTTGGCGTGTTTATTTGTTTACATATTTTTTTTAAACTATAATAAATAATAAATAACTGAAGTGTTTGTTCTCGTTTTGTTGTTGTTGTTTTTCTGTTGTTGATTTGTTGTGTTATTTATTTGTTAGTATTTTTTTTATTTGTGTGTTTGTTTGCTTATATATTTTTTTTAATTATTACTTTAAAGTAATAGCCATTATGTTTCGTTTCTGTGAAATAACGAGTGCTGAAAAAATATACAATATTTTTTTTCAATTACGTTTGTAATCCACTAGACTTCCTTAATAAAAACAGGAACAAAAACAGAAGTTGTTAAGTTACACGTACACTTCACAACAAAGGCTCCTTCGTGTGCTGTGATGCCTGTAATAAGATCAACCTTGTTATAGCGATTGTTCTTGATCAAAGCCGCCGGGAAATCGGGTATGAAGTCACCGTCCACACGAGGCAGCATCACTATGGGCTCATTTGACCAAATCTGCCGAAAGGAGGTGAAATGAGAAGAAAAAAAAATCACCGAATATATATGTGTGTGTATATATATATGTATACATATATATATATATATATATATATATATATATATATATATATATATATATATATTTATATATATATATACATATATATACATATATATATATATATATATATATATATATATATATATATATATATATATATATATATATATATATACATATATATATATATATATATATATATATATATATATATATATATATATATATATATATATATATATAATGTGGGTATATATTTATCTCTCTCTCGCTCTCTCTTTCTCACTTTCCCTCTCTCTCTCTCTCTTTCCCTCTCTCCCCCCCCCCCTCTCTCTCTCTCTCCCCTCCCCTCTCTCTCTCTCTATCTTTCCTCTCTCTCTCTCTTTTCCTCTCTCTCTCTCTCTCTCTCTCTCTCTCTCTCTCTCTCTCTCTCTCTCTCTCTCTCTCTCTCTCCCTCTCCCTCTCTCTCTTCTTTTAATCAATTATATGAACACACGTAAGCACACATGAGCTTATGTGAGCACAAAGGAGCACACATGTAAACAATCGCGCCCACACTCGTATCCATAGCGAGGCGCCCAACACCCTACCGTAAAGGCCTGAGGAAGGACGACCAGCTCCTCCAGTGGCGCTTTCTGAAGGCAGGCGAGGAGGGCCCTGCTGTTCAGATCCTCGGCTGTCGACCCTGCTTCTGAACAGTTCAACAGCTGGCCTACTTTCGCCGCGACTTCCCTGTGGTCGGCGCGGGAACTCCAGGAGCAGAGACCTGTTCCCGATTGCAGGATAGCCCGGTGGAAAAGACCTAGGGGATAGGGAATAGGTGGAGAGGTGAGGTGGGTGGGAAACGGTTGGGAGCGGTGTGGTGTTAACGAGGTGGTTGTGGACCTTGGTCATTTGACGATAAAAAAAAAAAGAGAGAGGGAGAGAGAGAGAGAAAAGAAAAAAGAAAAAGAAAAAAGAAAAAAGAAAAAAAGAGAGAAAAAGGAAAAGAAAAAAAAGAGAGAAAAAAGAAAAACGAAAAAAAAAGTATATATATATTCTACATTTCTCCAACACTGCAACTCTAATTTATTAAGATACAGATCCGGATTATACATAACAACAGTTATTTTATTCTATAAAATAATAAAAGCTCTAATCAGGCTAGACCAACATAGATTACCTTTCTACGTTAAACCAGAGCAATTCAAATATCAAGAAATACACATCTGCGAAACATTAATCCACACACTTGGAGGGATATCGTAACGTTGAGAACCAGTGTGATAAAGAGAGAGAGAGAGAGAGAGAGAGAGAGAGAGAGAGAGAGAGAGAGAGAGAGAGAGAGAGAGAGAGAGAGAGAGAGAGAGAGAGAGAGATGTCATCGGAGAAGAGACCACTTTACTCAAGAGCTCTGAGTTGGCTTGTTATTTTACGCTAAAGACGTGAATATTAATGTATATGTCTGCGAAAATCTCTAAAAATGATACAAAAAACTAAGCTAGCAAATTAGTATCAAATATTTTATCATAGTTGGTCCCTTCCTCGCGTAAATAACTGAAATGAAGAAGTGTTTGCTCTCGTTTTGTTGTTGTTTTTTTTCTGTTGTTGTTGCTTTGTTGTGTTATTTATTTGTTTGTATATTTGTGTGTGTGTGTATGTTTGTTTGCTTATATATTTTTTAAAAACTATTTGTTTATTTTTGCATTCATTTATTTAACTGTGTTGATATTGTTGATATTATACTGCTGGGGTACAATATCATCATCATCACTACTACTGCTGTCACTATCATTATTATTATCATTATTATCTTCATCGGCATCATCACTATTATTATTGTGTGTGTGTGTAAGTGTGTGTGTGTGTCTGTGTGTGTGCGTGTGTGTGTGTGTGTGTGTGTGTGTGTGTGTGTGTGTGTGTGTGTGTGTGTGTGTGTGTGTGTGTGTGTGTGTGTGTGCGTGTGTGTGTGTGTGTGTGTGTGTGTGTGTGTGTGTGTGTGTGTGTGTGTGTGTGTGTGTATGTGTGTGTGTGGACGTAGGGAACATGTGCGTAAAAGAACATGTGTACACCATTAGGAATACCATTAGTACACACAGAGAGACACAGACACTATCTTTGCAAGTACGTCCACATACTCACCTTTGGCATAGGGCGTGAGGACCTGGAAGTGTGCTGACGACGCCCCGGTACTTACTCCGAAGAGCGTGACCTTTTCTGGGTCGCCGCCGAGGTCATGGATGTTGTCCTTGACCCAACGGAGGGCCAGGGTCTGATCCTTGAGTCCTAGGTTTCCAGGAAGCACCGAGTCCTCCGTTGATATGTATCCTTTGGGTTATAGAAAGGGTTTGAGACACAGGCTGGTTCTGTTTGTCTGCGTTTGATATGTAAAATATTTGTATCAGACTGTATCTGTACGCACGCGCGCCCACACACACACACACACACACACACACACACACATACACACACACACACTCGTTCATACATCAACAACCCAATAATAACGATAATAGTATCAGTAACAACAATAATAATGATGATGATGATGATGACAACAATAATAACAATAACAAAAACAATAATTATAATGATAATAACAATGTTCATCATAATGACAACATTAAGAATTATGATACAGATTTATTTTCATTAATAATATCATCATTACTAGTATTATCGTTATTATGTCATCATATAATTATCATAACCGTTATTATCATTATTTTCATTACCTTAATATCGTTGTGACTATTAACATTCATATTATAAGTATTATCATTTTCATTATTATCATCAGAATTCTATTCAATAATTGTTATAATCATCCTTATTATAATAATTATCATCATTATCATCATTACTACTGGTGTTGTCATTATTATTATTATCATCATTATTATCAGTACCTTCATCATCATTATCATTGTTGCTATTGTTGTTATTATCATTATCATTATATCATCTCATTATTATCATAATCATTATTGTTAATTTTCATTATTACTGTCATTATAATTACCATTAACTGGCTATGGGCGGTGAGGACCGTTGTATGAAATTCCAGTAAATGGTCATGATATATTTTCAAATAGTTAACAAATTATTTTAAATAAAAGAAAATAAATACAACAATACCATTTTTTGGGGGCAGAGTAATGATTTTTTAGATCAGGAATTTTTTACCCATCATCAAGGAAAGACGTGGGATATAGGTAGGAAAAGTCCCAGTCAGCAATAGAAGGGATAATTGATAGAATCTTTCTATCCGGCTTAGGCTTCGTGCCTTCCTCACTCGCAATCGTCTCGGCTAATAATAATAATAATAATAATAATAATAATTTAGTTTGATTCCATTTGTTACAATGGATATTCTTGGTGTGACATACTGTCTGTTTTATTTTGCTTCTAAATTATCCCCTGTGTGCAAGGAATGGCCGGGGTTACCATCCACTGGTGGCGAGGGATTCGAACGCAGATCAGCAAGATTGCTAGGCGAGATCGCTACCGCTGCACCACACAGCACACGAAAGGTTATGCCCCCCCCTTTCTAACAATCCTGGATCCGGCCCTGGTTTGGTAGCTATTCCTTGGTGCAACCTTAATCCCTCGTTACGCGTATATGTAGCTAGAACAGAGTAATGGCTAATATTCTACACGATAGAATGATCTAAATATTTTACATGTCGAAAATAATCTAACAAATATATTTTCCCGGCATAATGCTCCAGCGATTTTAACCGACATTTCTTATAATAGCACTCTCAAGCTCAAGTGTATCCTTGCGTTTCACTGAAAAATACGGAATATTTTTGTGCGCTGCAAAGAATATGCTCAAACGAAACGGTTTATAACGCTAAGGTGACGCTCAGATGTAAACATTGACCCACCCGAGCCTTGTGTGTTTTAAATTTTGTGTTTAATAATCACATTTACCATGGCTCTCATTTAATCTAGTATTTATAACAGTCTTCTTTTCATCTTAACGTAGCCTATTTTCCATTAATAGACGAGCAGCTAGGTTTACAAGTCAGGAAACACGCTCTCATGTTTCACCATATTTAACATCATTTGCTTTGCTGAATATAGAGTCAAATACCAGTCAAGAAGTACCCATTAGGTTTCATATGATCTTAAAAGTTCATATGGCAGAATCCATGACGAAAAATATTCCTTGGCATACTACATTAGGTGTTTGTACACAATGTCAGCGTCGTCTGCTAGGCGCCACACGGATAATACACATATTGCGCTACAAGCATTTCCGTTCCTGAAATTGTGCGTTTCCTAGCGTTACGAGGTGCCCATC